TCGAGCATACTGTGGTGGCTGTTGTCTGCAGGGGGAGTGGCCAGGAAGATCTTGGGGAGCAAATGTCTGCAACTCTCCCTCCCTGCCCTCCTTCAGACCTGAATCCTGTGCCCTCCTGATGCTCGGACCTGGAGCTCATTTCCATTTCTCTTCCGCGAGAGTTCGTGCCACCTTAGCCATGGCATCTTCTGGCGCCGGGGTCCCTAGACACGTCTACTGTATCTCATTCATAGAGGACGCCCCCCATGGTCATACACACCGTTTAATGTACCACTAGGAAGGAAGTCATGCCACGAATCACACCACGATGTGGCATCGACTGTAAGACACGTGCTGTTGGCAAATGACCCTAGTTGTTGAAGTCCGAGGCGGGTCTGCAGTGGGAATCCTGGTGTCCCTGTGGCTTCCTGGGTAAGCTGCAGAGACAAGTGCAGACAGTGGTCAACCGTCATGTCTTCTCCCAGCCGGGATCCACTGACCCTCAGGGCTGCTGCTTCCCCTGTGATGTGGCCATCTGGAACTTGGCTGCTAAAGACCATGGCCCAGGACAGAGCCAGGTGAGGTGCTTCAGCCTAAGGGTGTTCAGATCCCAAGGAACCCCTCGTTGAAGATGGCTGCTGTTGGGCCAGGAGTCCCATGGTGGATCCTAGGGAAGCCAGAATACCTGCCTTCCAGGGCTAAAGGTACCTTTCCACTGGCTGAAGTGAAGGCAGAGCTGCCTCTAAAGGGGAAATTGATTTTTGCCTTCTGTGTCTCAGGCAAAGCAGGGCACATGGTATTGTCCTCACTTTTCCTGTCAGTACCCACTTCAGTGGCTTGGGAAGGGGGCAGGAGGAAGGGGCCACTCAGCAGAGCCCACAGCCAAGTGGCAGACAGGCCTAGTCATCTGCTCTGGGGCTTGGGACTTACCGACGCCGTGCACCCAGCCCGGCCCCGGGGACTTCTAGAGCTGCACATCTCCCCAGGTCGTTTGTCTCTGTTGTACGGTCCCAAGTGGCCAGAGACACCAAAGCTCCATTCTGGTGGTCACTTCTCTACTGACCAAGGTCAGTAATGCTAATCGTCACTGTAGCAAACACATGAATAGCCCCAAGTAGTGCGGTCCCCGCACTATGTGATGGTAACTCAGCTCATCCTTACAACTACCCTACCAGGTGGGGAGTAGAATTACCACCACCCCATCTTAGAGATGAGAAAACCAAGGCACAGGAAGGGTAGGCAATTTGCTCAAGGTGCCACACGGTGGTGGAGACTGAGCTGAGATCAGGTCTCGTGGATTGGTTCCAAACCCAGTGCCTCATCAGCTCTCCCAGGCCTATGTGAAGGGCGTGGGATTGACAGGCTGCTTTTCTGGGGCTACTGTGGGTTACAGGGTTCCTTCGTTCCTGTGCCCACCCTCCCTCCCTTTCTGGCTTCTGCTTGGATACCCTTGCAGTTGACTGACAGTGCTAATTTATAGCTCACGTCCACTCCCCGAGGCAGGCAGCTCCTGTTAAGCCCATTTCACAGATGGGGAAACTGGGTCTCCAAGCCTGTGTGAAATCCCCCAGCCAGAGAGTGGCAGGACAGGAACCAAGCCTCTTCACCTGTGGGACTACAGAGCCAGGACACGTAGCCCCCACTCCCCGTGGCCTGCCTACCATTGTCCCCTCCCCTGCCCTCTCCTGGGGTGGCATAGGCACTGATGCCTATTGGGGCTGCCCTGACACCTCCTGGAGGGGGCCGGGCTGGCTTCCTGCTGTTCACAAGGTGCTTTCCTGCCGGTGGAAACAGGGAGCATTCGCAGACCCTCACCTGCTGTCCAGAGAGTGCACACAGTGCTTTCCCACCCTCCACGCTTATTATACCAGATACTGTTCTCAGCACCGTGTAGGTGTTAGTGTCATTCCAGTGTCACAACCGTTCTAAGGAGCGTTAGCGTTATTAATTGCCTGTTTAACAGATACAGAAACTGAGGCCCAGAGAGCCTGTGTAATTCGCCCAAGGTCGCGTAGCTCTCAGTGCTGGGACCCAGACTGTCAGGGTTAGTGGTACTCCCAGGACCAGATGCAGGGCTGGCCGTGGTGGCTGTCCAAGCAGCAGGAGGGCCACTCCTGCCCCTGCCTTAGCCCCTTAAGATGGCTGGTATCTCTTCCTGAAACTCCGCCCAGCGCGGGCATCCTCGTGCACGCCGCACCGTGCCTTCCCATCCCTCCCACCCCATCCAGGGACTCTTCATGCCTGGCATCCCTCCCGAGCCCCAGAGCCTGTGCTCAGCGGCCCCTTTTCCTTCCCCACCGCAGAGAGGGCCCAGAGTACAGACCCACAGGACCCGACGGACCCGCAGGCAGGGCCGGCCCCATCAGAGCACGTGTGCTCCGCTCAGCCCAGATGCAGGCACGATGCAGCACGCACCCAGACACCCACCCTGCTGGCCCGTCTGTCTGTCCTTGTGTGACCCCCGACCCGCCTCTGTCTGTCAGGCTTCCTGGCTCTCGGACAGTGCCCAGACTCCCTCCTTGGCCGCACACTCCCACCTGCGTCAGAACAGCTTGTGTGGGTCTGCAGCACGAGGGAGCACGCACTATGTCCGTGCCATGGCCCCCGTGCGTCTGTGCTAGCCGGCTGAGCGGAGGGGGGGGGGTGCCTTCCTGGCTCCCTGCCCTCCTCCTCCGGGGTTGTCCTGGCATCTGTGGTAGTCGTGACGGGCCAATACACACGTCACATCTGCTCCCAGCATCCCAGACTCTTCGTAGCCAGGCCCTGCGAGGCCACCAGCTTCCTTTCATTCCCTTTATGGGAAACCACTCCACTGGCAATAGGCCGGCGCGGGCTGTCCTTGACCAGGCCGGGGGGCGGCCCGTGACATTGGAGGAAAGCTCCCGCCCGGCGAGGTGGCCCCCGGGGGGAGTGTGGGCTGGGAGGGGTGGCCGCGGGCAGCAGGCAGCACCATCTGTGGCCGTCCTTTGTGCTGGCAGCCGAGCAGTCCCTCCGTCGCCGAGATCCAGCAGGCCTCGTGCTTGGCGTGCAAATGAGTTTCCAGATGCCCAGTGCCGCGCCCCCCCCCCCACCACCACCACCAAGAAGCGGTAACTAGGGGTTTGGGAGAAGAATGGAGCAATCTGGAAATTCATTTCTGTTTGTTCCAACCTCTCTGAATAGACCGCCTCCCCCTCCAGCTGCGACAGATGTGTGCTGGATGCCCGCTTCAGGGGCGTTTGGCCACAGTTCTGGGCAGACACACGCCGGGGTAGGGGCCTCTCTGGCACCCTCCTCCCTGTGCAGGTGGTGGCAAGATGAGCCTCACAGAGAGACCTAGCTCCCCCATTGGCACCCCCCCTCCCGCCCCAGAGACAGAAACAGGTGCTCTCCTGGCTGGGGGCACAGGCTGGTGTTTAGCCCGCGCTGGCCTCCTTGATTGGGTGTCTTTGGGCACCGCACAAGCAGAGCAGACGAACCTGGCAACCCTGGAGGGCCCCTCCCCACCCTGCCCCGTTCCCGGCGAGAACCCCTGCCCTTCCCTTGCCCGGAACCCCTGTGCTTCCCCGGGAACGGGTATGCCACCTTGGCAGGCAGCTTCCAGCCGCACCGCGGACACAGGGCTCTCCCACTGGTCCTAACAGCTGCCTCTTGGCCCCTGCCCACCTGGTGAGGGGCAGGAAAGAACCCACCGCTCCGCACGACTGACAGAGCTGATGTGGGCCATGGGCAGGGGCAGACAGGGCTGCAGAGGGTCCCAGCCCTGCCTCCCGGGTCCGCGAGCTGATGGGGCACCCAGTCCAGGATCTGGGTGGTTTGACATGACAGCCCTGGGCAGCCACCACAGGGCTTTGTGGGGCAAGGCATCTTCCCCAGTGCCAGCCGAATGTGGTAAAGGGGGGAGGTTCAGACGAGGCCGGAGGGCTTCCTCGCTGGTGGGGTTGGAGCCCATGCCCACTCGGTCTTTGCCTTCTGAAGGGTTTCATCTGCTCTGCCACATTTTGGTCCAGGCTTGGGCTTCACCAGTGGGGATGGGGCAGGGGCGCCTTCTGTGTGTCCGCCGTTCTAGCTGTGGTTACTGTGAGCGAATGACTTCCCCCGCCAGAGCTCAGTCTGCTTATCTGTAGCATGGGAAGAGCATGGGGCAGGGCAGGGCTCATTATTCCTCTTCCCCTGCAAGCAAACTGAGGGAGGCCCAGAGAGGGTCTCTGAGCTCCACTGGTCCACACAGCAAGGTGGTGGCAGGCCAGCCTTCCCAACTCTTTCAAGCTCGTTGGACAGACTGGCCAGACAAACTGACCTGGAGGGTGCTTTTGGCCCCTGGTGGCCACATTAGGACAGTGAAGTGTGATTCCCTGGCACCCCGTTAGCTTCAGCTGCTTTTCTCTTGGTGTTTAAGGGCTCAAAGCCCGGATGTGGAGGGTCCTCCTGGGCTTCTGCCTTCTGTGCCCCCGGCCCACTCTCGCTTAGGCCCCCACCCCACCCCCGGGCTGCCCTCTGCCCTGCAAATCCTTAGTCCTCCTAAGCGTGGGTGCCCAACAGCACAGGGACCAGCCGCGGGTCTGCACTGGAAGGCGTGGGCACTTTTGCGGGGAGGACTTTCAGGGAGAAGCCTGTGGGCACTCTTGGGATCATCAGGAGGCTCTAGAAAGGCTCTGGATTCCGGGTGACTTTTGTCCCTCCTACCCTACCCACGAAGAGAGGCCATGTTGAGCTGAGTGTCCGGAGGCTTCGCTGAGAAGTCTGGGGGAGGCCAGCACTTCCTAAGCTTGCCCGACACAGGATCTGTGCTGGGCTCCCTCCCTCCCACTCCAGTGGCCTCTCCTTGGCACCATCTCGGACGTCCCCTCCATCGTGTCCATGCTCTCGACTGTGCCGCCTCTGGCCTGTCCTCATCAGAGTGAGGGCCGTTGACATCAGCCCTCCTTTGGGGTGTCAGTCCCACTGTAAGGGCGCGGCCAGTCTGGGAGGGCTAGGTGGCAGCGGGTGTAGCCGGGGGAGGTGGCCACGGGGCGCCCTGACCATCCTGTCCTTCCTTGCAGCCCTGCTGTCCTCCTGGTGTGAGGAGCTCGGCCGTCTCCTGCTCCTTCGGCATCAGAAGAGCCGCCAGAGCGACCCCCCCGGGAAACTCCCCATGCAGCCCCCCCTCAACTCCATGAGCTCCATGAAACCCACTCTGTCGCACAGGTGAGTGGGCGCGTACCTCCAGGGGCGGGCGGGGGGCTGCCAGGTGGGCGCTGGGCAGTGCCCCTCCAGTGGAAGAACTGGGGTGGGGGCCTCTGAGCAGCCAGGAGGATATTCTCTGTTTTTTAAATCCTGGTGGGGTGAGCACTGTCTCTCCCCCATCCCAGCAGAGGTTGAAAGCGCCAGTCTTACCCAGCCTGGCTGCGTTGTCCCTTCGGTGAGGGCTGTTTCTTCTTTGAGGTTCTAGACTTTGGGCTGAACATTAACTGTCCCGAACTCAGGGCCTCCCCTTTCTCCTGAGCAGGGCCCTGGGCAAACCTGGAGATACGCAGGGCCCACAAGGGGCTCAGGAACATCACAGAGCTGGTGCTCCCACCCTCAGGTGGGGACGGAGCCAGCCCAGGCCGGGCAGGCAGGAGCTGAGTGAGGCTGGGCTATCAGCACAAAGGCGGGGTCAGGAGAAGCCCGGGGTCAAAGGTGGGAACGCCGGGGCGGAGGCCATCGGACACTGATGAAGTGGCTGGTCTGCCCGGCACCAGCCTGCGAAGGAGCCCGTGCTCAGGACCAGCCAGCCCTGCAGTTCCCTCGCTGAGCTGGGCCCACTCTCTCTGCGTGCTGACCCTGGAACAGCAGGGCCTGCCATGCCATCTGCTTTCCCTCCACACGTCCCACTGATGACAGGCTCGGCGGGGTATGTTTGTAGTCAGAGCTAGGCTCTCATTCACGACCCAGCCTGACCAAGGCGCCCACAGCCCAGAGCACGCGACAGGCGACCTGGGTCCCACCATGGAGGTGCTGCCACAAAGTCGGGCATTGGCCACGCTCTACAAATTGAATTAGGGGCTTTTGATTCTCAGAGCTGGGAGGGAGCTCCTTAGGTCCAGCACCCTGCCCCAACACGTGTTTCCCTGCCTCGGTCAGAAGCACTTTGTTCGACAGCAAGCCCACCACCACAGCCCCCCAGGGACGCTGCCTCGCCACCCCCTCGGCCCAGCCTGTGACCCCTCAGACTCAGGACAGCCCCCCTTCTGTGGGTGTTTCTCAGTGGGGGGCACTCCTGGCATTGGGCCCAGGGCATTTAATGTCTCAGGCTCTGCCCACTCAGTTCTTCTAGGGCCCCTCACCCCCATGTTGTGAAAGCACCTTCACACATTTTGGGGGGTGAGGGTGTCACCCGTGGTTAAGAACCACCACGCAGGAAAGGCAAAACCCACCTCTGGCCGCCATCCTCCCCTTGCCCTGGCTCAGCAGAAAGCCGCAGGGCTTCTGCATCTGGACTCCTGCCAGCCACTCTGCACAGCCTATGGGTAAAGGCAGCCTCGACCGCCTGCCTTTATTTTAGCTTCTTACTGCTCTGCCCTGCCCGGCTCCTCCCGCTTCTTGTTGCCTCCCATCTGTCCATCCAGCCTTTCCTCCTCCGAGCCAGGACCGCCAGGAAAGCGGTCACCAGTGGTGGGCCAGGGCCCTGCGGCCCCATGAGAGGCCTGCCTCACACCTGCTCGGCCGTGACCGTTCAGGCCGCAGAGTGCTGCGGCTCTAGACCCCGGCCAGGCCTTCGCCAGGTCATGCTGAGCTGATTTGGAGGCCTGAGACCGTCCTGTCCTGGAGTTAACCAGATGGAGGGTGTCTGTGCTCCAGGGAGCTGCATCTTGCTGGTTGGGGAGGAAGTAAGACCCAGTGAGGCAAAACTGAGACCTGATGGATTGAGGCAGGGTTAGGGGTAGGTGACAGGCAGGCCTGGCCTTGGGGACAGAAGGAGGAAAATGGCCGGGCTGTCAAGAGGCTGCCCAGAGGACATGGGTCTTGACCTTCAAGGACTTGGTCAGAGAGTTGGGCAGGTGCATTCTGTGAGTTTGAACTGGCTTTCCCTCGGAGGGCTGGGATGCAGTGCTCTTCTACAGATGCCACACTGGTTCAGCTCCCTGTAGGGACCCATGAATGATAGAGGATGCAAAGAGGCGACCTCTCAGAGACAGGAGAGCCTTGTGCCTTGGAAGATTCACTGAGAACTGAGGGATGACCACTTGCTTCCATGGAACGTGACCTCCTCACCTTCTGCACCATACCTCCCACCCCGAATGGCAGAGCTAGAAGGGAAAGTGGGCCCAGAGCAGGACAGTGACTTACCCAAGAACACACAGCCCAGAAGGGGCAGGACAGTGCTTTGCCCTTCACTCTGCTGCTGGCCATTCAAGATCAGTGAGGTGGTGTCCTCTTGTTAACCCAACTCTGATCCAGACCTTGCCCTATTTCCCAATTCTGTACGAGGGCGGTTGAGACCGGAAAGAAGTGTCATCAGTTGAACAAGGACTGGTCCACGTCCCTGCAGGCCCCACACTGAGGCCACAAGCACATTGTGGCAGGTGATGGGAGGTTGGCTGGTCTCTACTTGTAGCTTCATGAATTTCCCGGGAAACCCCAATAGGAGGCATCACCTTTTAAGTCCTCATGTAACTTCCCAAATAAGAAGGAAAGTCAAGTACTTTTCACAGAGAGGAAACTTTTCGGGCCCCCACCCCCACTGCTGTATTGAATGACTTGGAGGACAGAAGCCCCTCTTGCCCATTGAATTCAGGAGACCCTGGGCCATGGGTGATGTTCAGGATTGGGGCTTGGAGGTGTGTGGCTGTTCAAAAACTCAGGGGTCCTTGTCTTCAGGCTCTGAAGACAATAGGAGAGGGTGGGGGTCCCTGAAAGGCCGAAGCCCCAGGCTGTCTCTGGGGGACCCCGTGGCTGTGGTGCCATGGTCCCGGCCACTTAGGGGGAAGGTTACACAGAGGCGGGCACCACAGCCCCCACAGTGACCTGGACATGTTGCCAACAAACATTTCTGCCTTCCTTCTCAGATTTAAATGACTGGTTAAAAAAGCCGTTTGTGATTAGCACATTGTCCATATGCAAATCAGTGCTGCAAAAGTAATTAAAAGCCTAATAAATCTTGTTTACACGCCTAACTTAATTACCAGTCAAAGCCCGCTAGAGCTGGGGATGACTCCAAAATCAAGGGGTGCCGCCCTTCCTCTTCCGGGGGAGGGGTTTGCTCCCCCCACCCCCCTCAGAGGAGAGGTGCCCAGGTGCAGCAGGTCGGGGCACAGGCGCTGAGCCGGGCTGCTGGGCATGAGTGGCCGCCCTGCCCTCTTCTGGCAGGGGGCCTTTGGGCAGCTCTGTAACCTCTCTGTGCCTCAGTGTCCTCATCTGTAGCGCTAGAAACAGCAGTGCAGGACCTCCAACATGCCCACCGCCAGTGGACCCTGACGCGCTCACTTTGGTCAGCTAACAAAGAAGGGCTCCATCAGAGCTGACCCCCCAGCCTCCTCCTTTCCTTGGTCCCATCGTACCACCTTCGCCACGTTCATGGTTAGCTGCTTTTGTGGAGCTGGACCCAAAGCTCAGGTTGTAATAGGTCCTTCTTCTTGCCCCCAGAAAATTAAAAAAAAAGAAAGAGGGAGGGAGGGAGGGAGGGAGGAAGGAAGGAAAGAAGGAAGGAAGGGATTGAAGGAGCCATAAATCCTGCCCCATCGGTTCCAGATTGCTGAGGTACAGCATCTTTTGCTTTCCTCCTTACTACTGAAAAAATTTAAGACCCTCTAATATGCAGTTAGCTGTGCAGGTCCCTCTACGTTTCACCGCGGGGAGGGAAGGAAGCGGCCCGAGTCATTGTGATGATGGAGAGCCCCGTTAAGGGCTCCCCTAAATGAAAGAGGGTGGGAGCTTCAGCTCCTCACTGGCTTGGTGTTTCATTAGTGGTAACTCTTCAGCCTTGCATGGAGACAGGACCAATATAGCCACATCAGGAAAATTAATTCAGGTCTGACAATACCCTTAATAGGAATTTGTTATTTCTCCCAAATAAAGTGGCTGTTAGAAGTGCAAGGGAAGAAATAACTCAGCCCTCCCCACCTCTTCCCTCCATGAATGTCTGTGTAGACACTGCTACAGCAGGTACCCGGGAGCCAGGAATCAGCACTCCCCTCTTGCTGGGCTTTACTCATTTTCTCACATTTAGCAAACATCAGTCAGTGCCTGTGGAGCTGCCAAACAGACATGTAAATCATCTACTCTAACTGCAATGTGAAAAGCTCTTCTTTGTGACAAAAGAGTTGAGGGAATAGAGGAAAACATCCTTGGTTCTGCTTAAGAGAATCACAAAAGGGAGTATCCAGGCTGGGCTTTGAAGTATAGGTAGGAGTTCACTAGTGACAGGATGGCAAAGGAACACTAAAGAAAGCCTCAGAGGCTTGGGAAATCTGTTCAACAAGCAGGAATGATAAGAACACCCCCTCTCATAGCATTTTTGCAAAACTTGTAAGCACCGTCATCAAGTAAATAGGGGTACCTGCACACAGTCAGGCTGCAGAAATGGAGAGAAAAGTGTAAGTACAGTTAAGCAGGGACTGTGTGCCAGACACTGTGCTGAACTTTACCTGTATTCGTATGCTTCATCCTAGGAGAGAGTTAGTCCCATTTTACAGATGAGAAAGTTGAGCTGACTTAAGTGATATGTCCGAGGTCACAGAAATTGTCAGTGGCTGAACCAAGGCTTGACCCCAAAGACTCTTAAGTTTAGAGCCCAGATAGTTAGCCACTGTGCCACAGGGCCTCCCTGTGCCATCTGAATATTAGCCTCACAAATGTTTAGTCGGAGTCCCTGAGTATTTGCTAGGATACTCTGTGCAGGCCAAAGCTAATGATTTGATGGATAGAGTGTTGTTGTTTCTTCCCCTGGGTCACTGTTTGGGTTTTCTCTGCAGCCAGTCTTTGAGACTAAACTTTACACGTCCTCTGTCCCTTCATGCTGGGTGGCTTCCCCAAGAACCCTCGGGAAGCTGTGCCCCTTCTTGGAATTCTCGGGGACTGCTAGATGTCCCTCATAGCATGTGCCCCCTCGTGTTATCACCACCTTTTTTTTTTTTTTTAAGATTTATTTATTTATTTGCGAAGGAGGGGAGGGCCAGAGGGAGAGGGAGAATCCCCAAGCAGACTCCCGCTGAGCACAGAGCCTGATGCAGGGCTTGATCCCACAACCCTGAGATCATGACCTGAGTGTGAAATCAGAGTCGGCTGCTTAGCCAACTGAGCCCCCCAGGTGCCCCTCCCCATCTTTGTGCAGGGAGGTGCTATCTTACGGAATCCTTAGCTCCCTGAGACAATGGGATGTGGTCAGGCCCACCTGGCAGTCTTGCCCTTGACAAGCCCCGGGACATTGGGAGCCTCAGCTCCTATGGATGCATCTGTTGAGCCCACTTTAAGGGATTAAATGAGTTCTTAGGTGGAAGTCCCTTCACGCAGCTCCTTGCTTCTAGAAGCCACTCAATAAATCATAACAACAGCAGCAGTCAACAGTTTTCGGTGCCCGAGGTCAGCTGCATGTGGTCATTTTGCCTTACACGTGGGAGCTCACTCAATCCTCACGACAGCCTTCTGAGAGACGTACTGTTATCATCCCATTTTACAGATAAGGACACTGAGGCATAGAGAGAGCAAGTAGCTGCTTCATTAGCTTCCCTCTGTCCCTCTCCCTGGAGGGCAGGACCCTCACTTCCTGGGTGCCAGTGCCCATGGGGTCACAAGCACACTGTAGGTGCTTAGCCGTCAGGTTTAATGAATGGACACAGTTACTCATTCTCAGGCATCCTTCTGAGGAGAGTATGGAGAGTCGGTGTTTCTCTCTGGCACTTTGGTTAGCAAAGGCTTTCCGAGCCCCGTAGGTGTGTGGTGACATCATGCCCGGCACAGGTAGCCTAACTCAGGATTCCTGGGGCAGAAGGAGAAAGGGGGGGCCTCTCATTTGCGCCCCCACTCAGGCCCTACGAATGTGAGGAACAAGTGGAGCTCAAGCCAGTGAATGTCACAAGGGCTTCCTGGAGGAGGTGGCCTTTGGAAGAGAAGCCTGGGAAGGATGAGCGGCAGGGTTGAAGCATCCCAGACTAAGATTAGGCACAGAGGCGGGAAAGCAGGTACCTCCCTGTGAGGAGGTGCTTGGCAGGCAGAACACTGCCGAGATTCCAGGTGGCTACTAGGACCGGGGCCTCTCTGGGTGGACTAGGGTTCTTGGGGCGGTTTTGGCTAGACAAGCCTGCAACTGGGGGCAGCTGTGGCACGAGACTGGGCTATGGGGTTGTACACCATGGGGTGTACCCACTGGGGGTGCACAGAGCTGGACAGGATTACTAAGACTGGGATTCTCACATTCCAGGGGCCCTGGCCTCCCTCTGAACTGCAACCAGCTATGGAGAAGAGGAGAGAAGTGGTTCCTAGCAGGCAGTCCCCAAATGCCAGGGACCCCTGACCTGGGCTGACCTCATCTGCAGGTCAGATAGTACTTGCCGGAGGAAGGAAGGGCCTCAGGACACCCCCTTCCCCCACAGGCCCCCTAGGCCTCCCCTTCATCACCCTAGGCCCCCTCCCACCTTGGTAGGGCCCAGGAGCCGGGCTTGCCCTTGCTCCTTGGGCCACAGGGAGCTGGAGCCGGGCAGCCCCCCCGGTGGTGGTGTCTGAGTCCCGGCAGAGGCGGCGGCAGGGCTGACTGCCAGGGGCCTGTGGGGGCGAGAGCCTTCGCTGCGACAGCAGGAGCCGTCTCCCCAGGAGATGAGTCACAGCCGTGTTGGTGCGGCTGCCACTTCTGCTTCTGCAGCAGGTGTGAGTGGGGGCGAGCGAGTCCCTGAGACCGCCCCTCCACGCGCGTGCCCGTCTCTGCCCCCGCGTGTGCCCGGCCACATGGCAGCAGGGTGTGCGTGCAGACACACATCCGTGTCCCTGGCCACACGCGTGCACTCCTGGAATAGGCCCGGGGTGCACCGTCCAGCCAGACGGTGGGCATGCCCAGTTTGGGAACCACGGTTAAGTTTGCTTCTCACCAAGTTTCGGGTGGAGGGGACGAAACAGGAAGGAGCTGGTTTCCGCCCACAAAGCCCACCCACGGAGCCGTAGGGCAGTCAGGAGCGTGTTTGTGGGCCTGTGCAGGATCCCGGTGAGCCGGGGCCTCCCCAGCCGAGGTGGTGAGGCAGCAGCTACCCGCCCCCCGCCCCGCCCTGCCCCAAGCTCGGGTGGGGCCCTGCCGGGCTCCAGGGGCTCCCAGAGGGCTTTACTTCTGAGCCTGCCAGGCACATTCTAAAAGGACACGAACCAGGGGTGCCTGGGTGGCTCAGTCGTTAAGCGTCTGCCTTCAGCTCAGGTCATGATCTCAGGGTCCTGGGATCGAGCCCCACATCGGGCTCCCTG